TGCTTGTTTCTGCAGTAGAAAGATCTGGAATAATTTTGACTGTTTCTTTGATGGTAAATAAGCCATCACCAGAACTCTCGCTATCTGTGAAAGGACTTGGTTTATCTGCCCGTTCTGTAGGCACTGTCACTAATAATGTTCCCATTTCCAATTTTGTCTCCAGTGATCCAGATGTGGATGTTTCTGCTGTTCTATCACGTGAAGTTGTCATAACAGTGTGAAGAGATTCTCCTTCTAAAGGTGTTTTCCTTGTCACTGGAACCACATGGCTGGTCAACATGGAAACATCAGAAACTTGCCTGTCTGTTTCTTTGATGGTAAATATTTCTTCACCTGAAAACTCTACATCCACAAATTGTGTTAATTTCTGCAGATCCTGAGCGGTTGTTGTGATTTCCTCAGTTGCTGGAAATTTATCTACAGGCTCCATGTCCTTTTCTGGCTGGTGTTCAGTTTCCTTCGTCACTTTTGTAGCTTCGGTTGTGGTTTCTTGAGACGTTACTTTGATTGCTGGTGTTACAATGATATGGGGAACTGGCATTTCCAATTCTTTTGTTATGGCCGAAACCAGTGCATCAGCAGTTTTCTCCTCATCAACCAGAGGTGTTGCTGGAGATTTGTCTGCTTGTTCTGTGGCCACTTTTACCGTCAATTTTACCATTTCTGACATTGTCTCTGAAAGCCCAGATGTAGTCAGACCAGCCTCTCTGTCATATCTGGCTGTAACAGCTGTATGAAGAGTTTCTATCTCTAGTGAGGTTGTCTCTGTCACTGGAGCTACATGTGTAGTTGTTTCTGCAGTAGAAAGCTCTGGAATAAATTTGACCGTTTCTTTGGTAATAAATAATCCTTCACCAGAACTCTCACTATCTGTGAATGGAATTTGTTTCTGCGAATCTTTCTCTGTTCCTGTGGTTTCATCAAATCCTGGAGATTGTTCAGAAGTTTCCATGATGGGTCCTGGCATCTCTTTGATCTCTGTGATCAGTTTTATTGCTTCTGATGTGGATTCCTGAGTCTTTTCTTCAATTCCTGGTGTCACAGTAATTTGAGGAAATCGAAGATCTATTGCTTTTATTGTTGAATCCAATGTATCAACAGTTACCTTCTCTTCAGCCTTAATTGTAGCTGAAGATCTGCCTTCCTGTTCTGTAGGCGCTGTCACCAATAATGGTCCCATTTCCGATTTAGTCTTCAATAATCCATATGTAGATGTTTCCACCATTCTGTCATGTGGAGTTGTCATAACAGTGTGAAGAGATTCTCCTTCTAAAGGCACTTTCCTTGTCACTGGAACCACATGGCTGGTCAACATGGAAACATCAGAAACTTGCCTGTCTGTTTCTTTGACGGTAAATATTTCTTCACCTGAACTCTCCATATCCACAAACTGTGTTGACTTCTGCAAATCCTGAGCAGTTGTTGTGATTTCCTCAGTTGCTGGAGATTTATCGACAGGCTGCATGTCCTTTCCTGGCTGTTGTTTAATTTCCTTCATCACTTTTGTAGCTTTGGTTGTGGTTTCTTGAGACATTTCTTCAATTGCTGGTGTGATTTTCCCTGCTTGTGTTGGGACTGAAACTAATATATCAACATGTTCTTCCTGATCAACCAGAGATGTTGCTGGAGATTTGTCTGCTCGCTCTGTATGTACTCTTGCAAATGCTTTTGTCTCCAGTGATTCAGATGTGGATATTCCAGCCTCTTCATCATGTGTAGCTGTAATGGCTGTCAGATGTGTTTCCCCATCCAGTAAGGTTTTGCTCGTCACTGCAAGTACCTGGCTGCTCATTTCTAAAGTAGAAAGATCTGGAACTGACCTGACTGGTTCTTTACTGGTTAATGTTCCTTCACCAGGGCTCTTAACCTCTGAAGATGGAGTGAATTGTGGTTCTGTTTTTCTTGGTTTTTCAGCAAGTTCAGTATGTATTTTGTCTGTCAGTTTTTCCGTCCTAGTGGTTGGTTTCATTGTTGCCAGAGTGAGCACTCCAACCTCTCTGTCAGTTCCAGGTGCAACAACATCAGTCAGGCGTCCCTCGGTCCCAAATAATCCAATGGTACTGGATACAGTTACCGTAGCGTCCAACCCAGAGCTAATTCTTTCACTACTGATATCCTCAGCTACTGTATTTGGAGTAGATATAGGCAAAGTACCTGCATACATTTCAGTTGGGGTTGCAGTTTCTAGTTTTGGTCTTTTCTCTGAAACATCAGAACCTGTTTCTGGTTTCCTCAAAATAACTGTTTCCATTGTTGCTTTTTTGACAGCATCAGAAACTAGACCACTAATAGTTTCATGTTCTTCACTCGAACTCCTAACCTCTTTTTCAGTACTGAATATTTTCAGTGATTCACTATCTTCAGTCTCAGTAGACTCCAATCTCTTTTCTGTTTGTATTGGAACAATGGTTTCTACTGATGCCGAGATTTTTGACCCTTCTGTTGGTAAGAGCTCTGTTTTTGTAACTGTTGTTGTGACCTCTGCTTCAGCTGTACGTGAAACAGTTTCCTTTGATGCAGTTGTAACAGCCAAATGATATTTGTCTTTCAATGGATCTATTACTGAAAGCTCATCATCTTTCTCCTGAGTCCCTCTGGTTGAATGGGCATAATCCTGTGTGACTGAAGAGATGATCCAGTCTTTGTCATCTTCTGCCCCAGAATGAACTTTAGTTACTTCTTTTGTAATGCCTAGAATTTCAGGTTCTTTACCAGTAGAAACTATTTCCATCCTCTCAGTAGAGATTTCTTGTTTCTGTGCTACAGTAATTCCAGTTATTAAATGAGTCTCACTATCCTTGTGTTTTTGTGTAATATCCATTTCTGGTATTGCTCTTATAGTGGGTGATACACTTTCCACTTGGCCACCCTTTGCTTCCTCCCCATTCGGTGTCTCACATGCGGGATCAAATTCCATTTGGCTCTTGCCACTAATAAAGCTGAGAGATGGAGGCACATCCTCTTCTGTACCTGCTTTTGGTGCTTGTGGTTGAACCAAGTTTCCACTGCCTTCTTTCCTATCATCATCCAACTCATGGATGTGAATGTGTACTATAGTGATCTTGGAACTCTCTTGAGGTGAGACGTCTTTAGTTGATTGATGATGTGGTAATGAAATTGATTCAGTAGAAATAATTTTTCCAGTTTCAAGTTCTTTGGGTTCAAGTCCTGAAATTAAATCCACAAATATGTGTCAGTGAAGGAGACAGAAATGTAGGAAAAGCAGTAAACTACTTAGCTGCTCAAAATTTATCTGCCTTAGATCATGGCTCATCTGTATCTCAACACTTCTTAGCCACTTCAGTTCCAAATCCCTGAGTATCCTTAGCTAACAAAAAATTGCATGCAATATATTTTCCCAGAATGGACACTATTCACAGCAGACAAAAGAAAAAAGCATGTATATGCACTAAAGATGTATTCCAACTCAACAAAACAGTTAACATCCATTCTCAGGCTTGGTTCTCAGGGTAATGAATTGACCAATCAAAGTCAACTTGCCTGGTTTAAAATTTAAACAAAGCTTGGCATATACATAGATCTTTGTCAGTCATCAGTAACTGGTATATTCTCCATGGAAATGCTGCTATCAATTAGAGGTATTCTCCTCTCATAAGTATAAGTGTTATTTTCCCTTTACTTTGGTTTTTCTTGCAACCTGTCATGATTATTGCAAAATGAACAGCTTTGACAAAATGTCGCCTTTTTTCTGCAATACTCAAGTTCTGTACAATCAAACGAATATTTGTAACAAAAATCTACTGCTCTCCATTTTTACATTTTTATTTAGCCTCCCCTCAGCTTTATGCGAGACAACAGTTCCTGGCTCCCACATTCTAAAGTAATGTGTTTGTCTGGCTTGTAAAGAATATGAAAGAATGCTATTTTGCTCTAAACATTTCTAAACTCGTCCCAAAATCTCCTCCTAAATGTCAATTATTTTAGGTAAACCAAAAAATGCATTGAACAGGACAATGATTCTCATAATGAACATTATTTTTAAAAGAGCACCCAGTACTTTAATTAACCTCTCAGTGTTTTTTTATCCCACCTCCAGTTCACTGATTATAAAGCCAGGCATATACATATCTCTTTTGTCATAATGATTGAGGTAAAGTAGTTAAGCTCAAGAAGTAAACAGCAAATTTGTGCAGATGTTGGTAATCCAAAACAAAAACAGAAAAAGTAGGAAGCATTCAGCAGTTTAATAAAACTGTGCAGCAAATAGACACAGATGCAGAAATAAAATTTTAGATGTGGGTTTGGGAAGTTGCACAATCAGCACTAAAGTACTGAAATTAACAGCGTGTCAGGAAACCGGCTCCAACCCACCAACTTTCATATATAACTACAGCTCATTTGGTCAACTGTGAGCAACACTGTCAGGAAAGGCAGATTGTCCATTTCAATACATTAATAACCAAAACCAGCATGGGGTTCGAGACTTTAGAATGAGTGGGCACCTGGGTTTTGTAACTCAGGCTGGCTCCCAACAGGCATCATTGACTGCACATGTGTAAAGAACAAGGTTTCCCAGATGATTCAGCAACATTCATGAACTGTATGAGTTTTCACATCAGAAATGTCTAATTGTTGTGAATCAAAAATATAGCTGATGCCACCCTTGAGAAACCCAATCAACCAGGCCCAGGAGTTTTATTACATTGAAATCTATACAAAAGATGTAACAATGAGTGAGCCATTAGCCAGTCAGAACTGGAGGCATCCTTCAGTGTGCATCAACCTGGATGTGCAGAGTGGTTTTGGTTTGCCAAGAACTTGTAGATAGTGGACAGATTTTGGACAGTCAGTAGGTAAGTTACTTGCTGCAGTATTCATAGCCTGTGACCTACTCTTGTCGCCACTATATTTATGCGGTGAGACAGTTGAGTTTCTGGTCAATGGTAGCCCCCACGATGTTGCTATTGGGGAATTCAGTGATAGTAATGCCATTGAACGTCGAGGGACAATGGTTAGGTTCTGTTTTATTCGAGATGGTCATTGCCTAGTGTTTATGTCGCAGGAATGTTACTTGCCACTTTTCAGCTCAAGCCTGGATATTGTTCAGGTCTTGTTGCATTTGAACATGCGACGGCTTCAGTATCTGAAGAGTAGCAAATGGTGCAGATGATAAGGAAACATTTGACTATATATGGCATCAAGGAACCCTAGCAAAACTGGACTCAATGGAAATCACAGGGAAAATTTTCCATGGTTAGAATCATACCTAACAGAAAGGAAGTTGAATCCCCCACTATCAACATCCTGGGTTACCACTAAGCAGAAACTGAACTGAACCATGGCGACAACAGCAGGTCAAGATGCCAAGAATTCCATGATGAGTAATTCACCTTTGAATCCTCAAAGCCTCTTCACCATGTAAAAGTCACAGTTCAGAATGAGATAGAATACTTTACAAGGGCAGATCCAACAATATTCAAAAAACTTAACACTACTCAGGGCAAATAGCCCACTTGATTGGCATCCCATCCATCGCCTTCAGTATTCACTTCCTCCATCATCAATGCACAGTAGCAGCAGTGTGTACATCTACTAGATGCACTGTAGCAATCCAGGGCAGCAGATGCATGGAGCACCCCACCTATAATGTCCTCTTCAAGCCACACACCATTCTCACTCAAAATTTTATCATAACTTCTTCACTGCTGTTGGTTCAAATCATGAAACTCCTTTCCTAATAGTGCTCTGGGTACAACTACCCCACAATTCGGGAAGGTAATGCTCCATGAAATAAGTTCTTCTCACTGCCCTCAATAGAGCCCTATAAAGACTAATTAATTTTCAGGGAAGCAGTCATAATTTGACAACTGTTTGCATTCAGACCAGGTACATGGAAGTTGAAGCCCTGGATCAGTGAAGGGATGATTTTAAAAGTCAAGCAAAATGGTTTTCCAAGTTAGAATAGCTTACCCCATTTGTAGTTAAAGTTCTATTACAGGTCAGTGAGGAGACAGATTGAGAAAGTTGACAGTTCAAGGGAACCCCACTCTTCTGGCATTGCTTGATAGTGCCTGCTATCGTAAAGGCACCACAGCAGTGGGTATTGCTGTTTGAACTCCAGCTGAACACCAGGTGATATACAGGTGGAAATGGATGGTACGTACAGCTCAACTCTACTGTAGACAGTAACACCAGGCAGCACAGGAACTGCACAGCTCTGGGCATCAGGATGCCAAAGGAGCGTAAAAAGGGGAACAAAAGTGAAAGAGGTACTACCCTGAGCACAGGATCTGTGGACAGAGGAGAAGCCATCTGTGAACAACTAAGAACCAGTGGCATGGGAGGGTGTGACTCTCTAAGGAGATAGCCACAGACATCGGTACCCCAGGCAGTGGCAGAATTGCACAGGCTGCTGCAGCCTAGTGCATCATTCAGGACAGATTGCCTCTTTTCTGATGCTGCATACCACATAAGGATTACAAAGGATGGGCTATCACAGGATCAGAGGGCACTGCGTCTGTTGCCAAGGGTGGTGTCCTGCAACACCAGCAGGCCAAGGGAGATGATGCTGAAGGGACAGATGACCCGGCTGCCTGACAAGGTGATCTCCAACTGGCACATTCAGAAAGAGGTTTTACCACCCCTCTCCCTCATGTGTGTCAAGATTCTAGCTCCCCGTGTCATCTTAATTCCTGTCGGGCAGTGGCAGGCTTTTCTATAAACTCCCTTCCTTAAGATAAGCAACAGTCTCAGTGATGGCTGCCTGAAACCTGATTCTGTTCCTGCCCTCACTAGCTTTAATCGGGTGGGAAATCTGTTTCCAACTCAACTTGGGGCTCACCCCCATGAAAATTGCAACTGGAGTCAGTTATCTGGTCGAGAAGGGGTTCTAAACCCAATAAAGTCCTCCTGTTTCCCATCTTCAATGGGAAAATCCTGACGCTATATTCTTTGTTTCTGCCATTTCTAGAATTCATTGAATGCTGGCTCCGCAATATCCCTTCACGTTACAGTGATGCAATTAATTCATCATGACAGGGCATGCTTATTGTTTGGTAATCTCAGAGGTCTGATGTAAACGCTGTGGCTGGGATAAAATGGTACTGACAGAAGTACAGCAGTAAGTTCCAGGTTTCCTGAATGCCAAAAGACACTGTCTCTCAACTCCCAGGATATCTTTAAGTTAGAATTTCATTCAAAAGTTCAGATGTTGTGCATCTCCAAAGTTGAAATTAGTAATCACATCAATTGAACTTTGTTATCAAAAGCACGTAATTCTTGATCTAACCTCCTTCTCTGTTCTTCAATTATTTCTTGATCTAATCTAATTCTCTGTTTTTCCAATTATTTCTGCACAAAAATGTCCTATGAACAGGGCCTGCTTGTTCATGCCTATTCTATTCTGCCTTAGGACACTGCTTATCTGACTAATCTTCTCCTTTCAGATCTCACAACTAAACAGCCTTAGTACAGCTGTGACAAAAATTAGATGCTTTAAAACAGCATCAGATCGCTGAGATAAAGAAACACCTCGAATTGAAATGATAGTTCTCAGCTCTGTAATTCTAGTGGATAATTGGTATGCTTTGTTATGCTGTGCAAAGGGTAATGGCTACAAATTATATTTAATTATTTATTGAAGCCCAAGATAGTATTGGTACTTTGACCTGTACACGCAAATACTTTAAAGCATTTGATTTCATGATTGGTAAGTAAGCTACATTGACAAATAATAGTACTGATATGTACCAATGTTCTCCAGTGGTTATAGCAACTGCAGTTTTCACAAGGTCCCCCTAAAATGCAAAGTCCACTGCTTAATGATTCGACACCTCTACCAAACAACAAGATCATCATTATTCTTACCTACCAACAGTCCCACTACACTACATTGAGTTCTACTAAAAGATACCTGACCAGGAACAGTCACTCTGTATCTTTCTGCAGATGCTGTCTGATCTGCTGATTGTATAAAAACAGAAAATGTTGGATGCAATATTGGAGTTTTCAATCATAATTTCATTCTAGTTTGGGCACTTACCAATTCCAATGCATGCATTACATTTCTTCAAAGCAGATTGTAAGTCATTGCAACCTCATGATACAACTCAATACTGTTGCTAAGCATCAAAAATGTGGCTTATAAGGAAGTTCAAAAGTTGTAATAAGAGCAGGAGTACACTACTTACTTGCTTGTTACTTTTGGG